TGTGGCTGCCAGTTCACCAGTAAACTGGAAGGTATGTTTAAAGATATTCAGGTGTCGGCTACGTTGATGGAGAGCTACAAACAGCAGAAAGAATACGTCGACCACTGTCCGGTATTTTTGCTCTCGCAGCGCTATGTGAAAGAAAGCTCTTTTAACCGCCTGCCTATCTTAGAATAGCGGAGTGGACATCTTCGTGCGCGTGCTAACGACCGGCTTCTGGCCGACCCAGTCGTCGCTACCCATCTGTATACTGCCGCGCACGGTGAATGATGCGTTCGAAAAATTCAAGAAGTAAAGTGACTTCTTCGACGATCGACAATTAGCCTCTATCTTGCTTAGATATTACCTAAGCAAACACAGCGGGCGCAAAGTGACGCTTCAACCACAGCTGGGAAGTGCGGACTTGCACGCCACGTTCTACGGTTCCAGAAACTCTCTCTCTTTTGTTTCATCAACCAGTGCGGCCGACATTGATGACGCCGAACAGCCGAGTAGTTCTGGCATAAACGAAGGGAGTTTGGAAAAGTTTGGTTACCCAAGGAAACATATTCTCTGCGTTTCCACATATCAGATGTGCGTGCTGATGCTGTTCAACAAGCGGGAACGGTATTCATACGAAGTAACTTAGACAAGCACTGACAACGGTTTCTAGCCGTCGTTCGCTTCTAGGAAATAGCATCTGAAACGGTGATTCCCGAGAAAGATTTGAAACGAGCAATTCAGTCATTGGCTATGGGAAAGGCCTCGCAGCGGATTCTCTGTCGTCGCTCACCAGACAAATCAAAAGAAATAGGTACTGCCATAAAAGTTTTTATGGCTCTTTGGGATGAATACCGATAATTATGAGCACCATATGCCTAAAATGAATTCTGCTATGTGTCATCTAAAAACGTTAATTAATGAAAACTAGAAAATGTATTAAAACGGTTTATTTATGCAGAACGCAAGCGAATAAGTTGATCAATCAGGTTTTTGGCCAGTACCGACGTTTAGACTGGTCTCTCAGA